GAACAACCTGCTCCCAGCGGCCTCGTGAAGCAACTTCGACTACATTTTTTCACTTTACACTTACTTATAAAAAAATTTTTCTCTACCTATCCTATTTTCCTACCCCACGAAACTCTATAACCACCGTTTTTGCAGGACAAAACGCTGAGACTAGGGGTATATGAGTGGGGCTACAAAAGCTACTTTTGCCGATTCTACATCCTTATCAATCATTGTCTAATATTCGTAACATCGTGCCAGTTGTTACATGTCGATCATAATGTGGCAGCCTGAATTCGGTAATGCTGGGCCGATTTATTTCTTTCTCACTCTCCTAGCCATTGCCTACCGCGAGTTAATCCGCGAGCCCAGCTAATTCACGCTCTGTTCTCTGTGCGCTCTTGTACTTTCTCGCGCCCCCGCTGTCGACGCGCGTACGTCCGAGGCGCTCTGATGCCAACACTTGCACCCTTTCCTGATTGGCTGAGGACTGGACAGTCTTGGCTAAAGCCGCGCGCACAGACACTTTTACATTGACTTGACCGGCTTCTGTGCGCGGTGATTGCAGCAGATACTGTAAAGCTACTTGAGCTCAGTAAAGTTGTTCCAATTCATTCCGTTTTTCCGGACTTATGATTTGGTGGTCCTTCTGATATCGAGGCAGCAATTAGCTCTCGCTACTACCTTGGTGTCCGGCGTGGAGTTCACATGAAACTTGTTGTTTTTGTTTGGCTGGAATCGCCACTATACCATCAGACATACATTATTCTGCTATGTATGACTGCTCATCCGGCTCCTGAAGTGCTTTATACCTAGGCGTATCTCACCCCCACTAAGCCAGCCATTTCGAGTCATCCCTTTCACCTGGCGTACTAATGGGTCTGCTGCTGTGGTTCCAGTGAGCTGTTCAGCCGTAAAGGGCACGCAGTGAATGATGCTTTTTAATTTGTTTTTCACTTGGCGCACACTTAATATAAACGCGAGTACGATTCCATGCAGAAACGCACGTTAATTGGCAGTCTGGTTGCCCGCGTTGGCTCTGCCTCTTGCTCTGCGTGTTGTCGTGTATAATGTTTGCTTTAGGCCGCAAGTCCATCACGGTTTTTGTGTCCGTTATACTGCAAGTAGCCAAGGGCTTCATACAGAGTCAGCCAATTCTAAGCTCGGACTAATAGAATGCGGCAAATGAACACAGGAGGACAGACTCCGTGATAAACTATGCAAAGGCCTTT